CACAAGATGTAAGGCTTAACGGACATTCTCATGGTTCTTGATGTTTCTTTTTATGACGTTCGTTTCCTGTGAACCATGGTTGATCTTCATCGTGTGTTACTGAACTGACTTTTGATTTCAGTAGATCTGTTTTTCGTGGATCTGGTTACTCACGAGATATTTTTCTTACTCTGTAGGAAGATTCTGTTATCCAGGTCCAAGCCAACGCTTTGATGTGTATTGAAAAGATCATTGATAAGCTAGAGAAAACAGATATCTTAGATGAGGTGCTACCGATGCTTAATAAAGCCAAACTTCAAGACCCGCTGATACTAATGTCGGTAGTAAGTAAGTGGTATTTTCAGAATGTTATTAAAGAGCTTATTGGTGGTTCAGAATGTAAATTAATATATTATTGGTGGTTCGGAATGTAAATTAATATATTATTGGTGGTTCGGAATGTAAATTAATATATTTTTGGTGGTTCAGAATGGAAATTAATATATTATTGGTGGTTCAGAATGTACATTAATATATTATTGGTGGTTCAGAATGTAAATGAATATATTATTGGTGGTTCGGAATGTAAATTAATATATTATTAGTGGTTCAGAATGTAAATGAATATATTATTGGTGGTTCAGAATGTAAATGAATATATTATTGGTGGTTCAGAATGTAAATGAATATATTATTGGTGGTTCAGAATGTAAATGAATATATTATTGGTGGTTCAGAATGTAAATGAATAATACTATTGGTGGTTTAATAGGTAGGTCTTAACCGAAAATAATGGAAAGGTCTTTAATAGTAAACTGTTAATCATCAACACATCTAGGGCGGATCTTTGACACCTTACGAGTGACCCTTAATACTTCTGGGGGGGGGGGGATTCTAGACACCCTACGAGTGATCATTAATACATCTATGGAAGATCTTTAACACCCTACAAGTGATCATTAACACATTTAGGGAAGATTATTAACACCCTACAAGTGATCATTAACACATTTAGGGAAGATTATTAACATTCTAGAAGTGATCGATCACTTCTAGAATGTTAAGGATATTCTCTAGATGTGTTAATGATCACTTGTAGGGTGTTAAGGATATTCTCTAGATGTGTTAATGCTACCACCATTATGTAGGATCCTTATGTAGTGATCAGGTTCTTAAGATTCGTTGATTACATTTTGGCAAGATTTTTCACACAGTAAAATTGATCTAGAAATATTTATTCATCATGTTAATGTAGAATATGGTTCTTCATGATGTTGATGTTGAATTTTATTTTTCTAGAAATATTTCTTCGTGTTGCTAACGTAGAATATGTCTATATAGAAATATATGTTAATGGTGTTAATATAAAATATATGTCTAGAAACATTTGTTCGTTTGATATTAATTGAGAATGTATTTCTAGAAATGTTTCGTCGAGATGTTAATGTGAAATAAATGTTCAAAATTTTATTGTTTATTCAAGGAATATACAAACACATGCTTGGAGATAAGCGATATGGTCTTACAGTTAATCTTCTAGCAACAAAGGTCATGCCAGCTCTGATACCAGTGGCTGTTAGTCCAGGACTTAAGTTAGACCAGGTAACTAACTGATTATCGTCCCAGTTGTAGATAGTCCAT